TCCATTTCGTCGTAATTTTTAGTAAACAAATGAGGTTCAAACGAGAGTAAAATCTAATTTTTAAAATAAAGACTTTTTAGGTAATAAACCTACTAAAAGTGTAAAATGTGTATTTATTTAAAAGTTTATAGTGTAAATTTATTAATTTAAAGTGAAAAATGTGAATAAAGTGTGTTTAAAGTGGTGAAATAGCCACTTGAAATGTCCGAATTTTGCGAATTTTTGAACTTTGAGGTCGAATATCTCCTAAACTAAGCGTTTGCGGTACCTATAACCCTATATATTTTTTGATCAGGAGAACGTCCTCGCGGTACCTTCAAATCGCGGCGCCAAAGAAATCGGAATTGTGCCTTAAATGTAATCTAATCACCGTAAATTTTTGGTGGAAAAAAAATATTGAAGAAATTCTAAGAGTAAAAAGTAAGTGTTAAGTCCTGAAAAGAAAAATTTTCTGCTAATAAGTAACAAAAGTTTCTATAGAAGGTTATAAATTGCCAAACAAATAAGTTGTCAAAGAAATTAAGATTTTTGGGTATGTACTGATGGTTATCAATAATTTTCTTGTGTGTAAACGAATCATAAGATATACGTAAAGTATACGTAAAATATGATTTACTTCGTAGAGGAATAAAGCTGGACTTAAAACCCACAATAATCGGTTAATATGTGGCATATGAGCATTATCGTACTACAAGCCATATTTGGAATAAGTACACGGACGATATATTTACTATATCAAATGGGAATCCCTACACTTCTAATGATATTGTTTACTCTCCAATGTCCAACATATGGATTAGTTTCATACGATTATTTGGATAACAACGATATTAGTGGCTTAAATAGTGTTGAACAAACGGCGCGTTTTCCTTTGTTGATGCCGAAAGTTGTCCCAAATAAGGTATGTATGTCTATTGGTGCAATTAAACTAATTTCAATTCTGCTAAAAATACATACTTATAGAAATACTATTTAAAACGAGTGTTTCTCCGACTTATAATGAATTTTACACTAAATTTTTAACTTTTATATCCACTAACACTTAACTAATCCGTTTCTAATAATTTTTTTTGGCTGCGATTTAGAAAAGAATCCCCGGACTTCGGGGTTAATGTGGGTATGTACGGATAGAGGAGGTCCTCCAGATCAAGAATATATATATATATATAGTCGCCACTGACTTATGGTTTTTGAGATATTTGCATTTAAAGTTCAAAAAATTATAGTGCAAAAATAACTTATTCAATATTTAAATTTTGTTCAATTATTTTTGTTCACACAATAACAAAAGGTTGCATTCCAAGTAATAATCAGTGTTACCTTACGTACATATTTCACAGACAAACCAAAAGAAATAAAGAAAACAAATAATACCCCAATGACAGGAAATATATAGTACACTAGTTTTCAGCATAAAATTCCTTTCTGCATTGACGGGACTTCGGCCGGTCACGATTCCCATTACTTTGGCGGAGGGGGGAAAAAAACCGAATTTCCGTATAAATGGAGTATGTGCGGATAGGAGAGCTTCTCCAGAGGAGGAATATCCAAAAATAACTAATATTTTTTAAAATATTCACTTTTAAAAATTTAAAAATTTGCACTAAGAACATATGGCATTTCTCTATGTTTAACTACATTTTTTTCACGTGTTTTACTCTTTATATTTAAATATACACTGCAAGCATTGAAATAAGCTCACCTTTCACATATATTTTGTAATTATACTCTCGCAACAAAGTTGCTA